ATTATATTCTGGCTGGGTAATTTGTATGAATTTTATGAGCTAAAACAAATATCTGCAGTTAATAAAAAAAATAAATATTCTTCACACGGTAACAGATGGTCGGTCGGTCGGTCCCTCCCTCCCCCCCACCCCCCACTAACCTTCCCTACCAGATGTGTGGGAAAACCAGAATATTTACCTTTTTAGTAATAAATAATACCTCAAACTAAAGTTAGGATAATATAATTGACATTGCTGGATTCCTTGTAAGACCAGGAATATTTTGAATACAAATGTCATATATTTTGCACAAAAAATAACATATTTACTCAGAGTAAACATTATATCTAAAATTTGTATATCTAATGCAAAATCTATGATGTTTATATTCAAAATGATCATCATATTGTAAGAATTCCAGCAATGTAAATTATATTCTGGCCGGGTAATTTGTGTGAATTTTATGAGCTAAAACAGGCAGGCAGGAAGTCAGGCAGGGTGGCAGGTGGGGCGAAGCTAAAAATAGCTCTCGAGCCGGACACTGCGTATACGTGGAAAAAACCCACGTTAAGTGAAAGTTCAGCTCTGGTGAGGCACTGCCAGATATGTGAAGTCGCTACTAAGCTTAAACCGTAGCAGCTTAGTATTACTGTACATAAAATAAAATGCTGTACTGGTAGAAAAAGCAACAAAACAATAATGTAGATGTTTTGAATAAGAAGAATAATTAAATGGTTTATTTTGATTAATATTGTACCTGTAGAATATGAAAATCCTGCAATATAATTTAAAAATTTTCAAGATTTTACAGATTACTGATTTTGGACTATTAATGAATACAACTTAGCATACAGCAACCCAGAAAATGACTTTGTGATATGCCAGTTTGAGCCAGCATAAAGTTGTGATTCTGCTGCAATATTTTGTCATAAATTTGCAATTTTTGCATTCAGAAAGTTTTTTTTATACCGGTAATAAAAACCTTTTTGATATTTCACACTTAATATAATACCAATAACTACTTCAACCTCCTGTATAGAGCCATAACATTACGACGCACTACCAGCTGTTGAGTATCAGCTACACGTACACGTGTTTTTTCGAATCGCCAGTTAAACTGTTACATCACACGTTATTTTTACCTAAACTGCCCTGAATGAATATATTCTTGGAAATAGATAGTAGTTTTGCTGAAACGTGATGTATTTCAATGTAAAATAGATAAAATACATGACAAAAAGACGACTTTACCTAAGCTTCCGATGTTCTTGAGATGTTATTCGTTTATAGTAGTTTTCGTTAAAATACTGTTATATTACAATGGTATTCTATTCATACTGTGCTTGATATAATACATTCACGGAAATGTAATATTTTTGCTGAAATTACGTACGTATTACAGTGGAAAGTGGGATAAAATCGTGACGAAAACAATGACTGAAATATAATGCAATATTAACTCCTAAATCGGTTAATTCGGACAATCGGCTAAAACGGACACCCTTCCCCCCCCTATTAGTCCGAATTAACGAGGGTCGACTGTATTTACGTTTTTAAAAATCTGACGCACGCTTTCTCTCTCTGAAATGTAAATTCTGCACACTTGTGATGTCACATAGAATGTCTCAAACCATGATCATCAAAGGTATATAAAAAACACATTAATTTATGTTTATTAATATTATTTAGATACAGCATTTCTTGTTATCATTGTTATTGTTCTTAAACATTTACCATTTCCCCCCTCTGTTCAGTCATACCAAGAACCTAACCCCCTTTACCCCATTGAACTAAGTTTTTTTACATTATGGTTTCTGTATTAGCACCTTTTCAAGAACTTAACACCATGAATATTGAGAGTCTACTGCATCAGGTTTCAATAATTTAGAAATATTCTAAATAATTCTCTATATAAATGGAAGCCAACAGGGAAAGGTTAGTTTGGATTTGGAAGTAAAAAAAAAATTTTTTTTTTTTGCTTATACAGTAGTTTGGAAAGATAGCCATCCCTAGCACCCCACCCCCCCCCCCCTAAAAAATGGTATAAATAAATAATTTGTCTAACTTCCTAGTCCTAACTAACCCCTAATCCTAACTCATTTGGTTCCATTTTTACAGAAAACCCTATATACTCCTCAAAGATTTATGCCAGATTATTCAAAACATTCCAAGTACTATAACTCTCTGTCATAAACAATTTCTTGGAAACTTCACTAAAAACTTTTTTATCAATCAATTATACCATACCAGAGAAGAGATCAAATCAAACTTACCCATTTTGTTGCCTCAAACATTTTAACATCTAACGGGTCTCCCGTTAGCTGTCCATTGAGGTAGGTGAGGGAGTGACACGTGGCCATAGCAGCAACAAGGTGAGATGTGTGCTGAACACTTGATACATCCATGACAGGTGTTCCCATGTGGCTGCCCTCTACCTCCACCACACCCCACACTTCTAGTCCATCCTCAGTCAAGGTGCCAGTCTGGTAAAATGATATAGCTATGAAATATTCAGAAGACTCAGAACTTTATTACAAAAAATAAGGTAATGTGTAGTTTAAGTACAGTAATTCTCATGTGGCAAGAAAATTATAGTCAGTGATTCAGATTCAAATATAAACATAATTGTGCCTAAATACTGTATACTGTACTGTACTGTATTCTTCACATGTGAGACTTTAGTGTGTACAACAAAATACTGAACTCTACATTTTTCTGTATGCCACAAGACCTGGGCTGTAATAAAATTAATAAGATAATGCATCTAACCTTATTATCACTAAGTTCCTTTTCTCAAAAACACTTTTAAGGAGTCAGTAAAATAAGTATCGACCACCCCATAGTTGATGGAATAGAAAATGAGTGATACCAATCAACTGACCACAGGTATACGTTTACAGTTTTAGCACGATGTTTCATATCGTTACGCATGTCAGGGCATAACATATGGTACCAGCACAGCTTAGGGGAGGAAACTGAAGGACAGTGGAACTCCACCAGCATTTTGGTACTTTCTGGAAGCTTCACTCGCAAGATCATGCAGTCATTTATGATAAACGAAAATTTGATACAATTGTCTTGAACAGTTTTTTGGTTAATTTTTAAAGCACTATAATGATGCGATTTGCACCACCAACGTAATGCTACTCAATGATTTGACAAGATTCACATCATGATGCACGAGAGGGTTAATAACCAATTACTGTATAGTATACGTTTTTATGTTGAAGTAAATGTAAGGAACAAGTAAGTTTAATTCTTTTATATAGCCCTCACAGCTGTAATCACTGCAAAATTCCGACTCATTACTCACTTTATCAGCTATGATCACACACCACTACTTGTTATGATCCTTAGTTGGTGAAAATAAAGAAATTTGTAGACATTTAAGTAAAAGGGTAGGTTAAGTGAGCAACAACATGACACTGCCAACCTGGTGGATATACAATAAATAACTCTCTCCTTATAAGACTTATTTTTGGAAATTTATTTGGAAAATTTAGATGAAAAATGTCCAAGAAAATACCTGGGTCTGGTCTACATACCTTAATTTAGTACATTACAATATGCTGGAATTAAAGATTGAAACAGACTACTGTACAATGCTGAAACCATCACCACATTACATACCTTGTCAAAACACACAAGCTTGGTTTTTCCCGAGACATTTATTCTTGGTGGAGATATACAAAATATTCCTTTCTTCTTCAGTCTACTTTGGGCATAGTAAGTACCAACCGTCATGGCTGCAGGAAGAGCTGGGGGCACCACGATGGTCACAATATCTAGTGTTCGCACGATGGTCTTCACTATACCCTCCTATTGAACAGAGGACAGCTGTAATGAATCCTCTCTGGTCTTTGTACAATAATTCAATTTCTTATGTATAGATTGACAGATAAAAAATTTCCCAAAACATTTCAGCAGATAGCACCATTTCATCCTCAAATGTGTACAACTAGCAGCAATTATTAAAACAATGGTGAAATAATAGGTGTTGAAATATAATGAGTTCAGCAGATACCAGTTCCATACACTGATACAGGAACAAGAAAAGATTGGTACCATTTACAGTTTTAGCCTTCATGGATCACCTGAAGATTAGCCCCCATATAGTTTTGGGGTTGTCAAACTTCAGGTGAGCACTTAGGGGGCTTATCTTCAGGTGATCCATAAAGGCTAAAATTATGAATGGTCTTGGTCTCGACTATATCACCGGGATTTAACATATGAAAGTTTACACGAGAAAAAATTATGGATTGATCCTGAAATCCAATTTTATGACCAACTGTGAAACTTAACAAAATATACTTGAATTATAGCCATGAGTCCTGGGTTGTACACCTGAGTGTAACCCTTCAACACCATAAACTGTGACTACTTCATGACATAATTATAAAACCATATTACAGTAAACTCTCAGGATAACAGACTAACAGGTAAAAAAAAAATTGTGTTATAGCCGAAAATTTATTAAAACCAAGTGTTGTCTGTTCAGGTCACTAGATTCACCCCAAAAAGTAGCTTTAACTGTACACTATAATATTATAACTAAAAATATTGGGCACATAAGCAGCAATAACAAAAGCATATAAAGCAATAATGAAAGCAAAAAAAAGACCCTCTTGACCTCACCACACACTCGCCACATAGCTTCATGGTGGAAACCCGATGACACAGGACACTTAAAACTTTATACCTTATGATAATTTCCCCACTCAGCCAAGCAGGGAAGTTCAGGTTAAAGGAGCATGTAACAAGTGTGGTGACTAGAACAAAAATGCATCATGTATAATTCTGTAATAGTTGTTAATTGCTCAAGTTTTTCAATAATATTCTTTATTAAATACAATACAGGTTGCACCTCTCTAATCCGGCAACCTCGGGACCTGACCGGTGCCGGACCATGGAAATTCACCCTTTTCCTGGACAGATAGTGACTTGTGCTTATGTTTGCACCACTTTCACTGCTTCATGGTCTCTTTGAAGACATATTGAAGGGTTAAATGTCGTACAGTAGCTTCTCAAATTTCGTGAGTTTTTAATTCAACGTTTTTTATTTGGACACACAAAAAAAAACACTACATAATTTAAAATTTTGACGGTGGAAACTCGAATTTTGACAGGTTTGAACGGCCCGCCAACGTTCAGACGACGTGCACAATCGTGTAAACAGCGTCATTTCTCTTATGTAAAAAAGATTCATTATTGTTTATTACTCAATGTCTTTTTTATTGAATTAATGTTTATGTGTGCAAAATGAGCAATACAATTCATTAATAATACGTAGAATATTAAAACACACGAGGAAATGAGACAGCATTGTTTCCGTTGATTACAAAACCAGTGACCGAGTGGTTCTACATATAAAACAAGAAAATAAGACCCTGGTTGTAGCTGTAGTAAAATTAATGTAATAAATTAATATGGTTGTTTTAAGTAATGTTATCTTATGTTAATAAATAGAACAATAAAAGTAGCAAACCATTTATGTTAAAGAAAAAAGTGAGACTGCGCATATGTAAGTGCGCACATGTGAAAAACATATCTTCATTACTCTACATAAGAATATGAAAGCAACACTTATTTACTGTTCATATATGTTTTAATCAATGTTTCTGATTTTTTTTATAATTAATGTTTGTGTGCAAAATGAACAATACAATTCATTAATAATTCGTGGAATATTAAAACACACGAGGAGACGAGACGGCTGCCAGCATTGTTTTCGTTAATGTTTACAAAACCAGTGACTGATTGGTTCTACATATAAAACAAGAAAATAAGACCCTGGTTGTAGCTGTAGTAAAATTAATGTAAAAATTAATATGGCTGCTTGAAGTAATGCTATTTAATGTTAATAAATGGAACAATATAAGTAGCTAACCATTAATGTTAAAGAAAAAAGTGAGATCGCGTATGTAAGTGCGCACATGTGAAAACATATCGTCATTACTCTACATAAGAATATGAAAGCAACACTTATTTACTGTTCATATATATTGAAGAGTTAAATGTTGTACTCTGTATAGACAAACAGAGAGAGAGAGAGAGAGCCGAACTGCCGGATGTAAACAAACCTTAATTTCCCGCGGCTTTGTTGTTGTTGTTTTTTTACGGGGATTAGCCCACCTGGGCACAGGTCACTGACCCACATTGGAGCCTGAGGGGCGAAAATTTAATACTCCTGTAATAATAATAATAATTCAGATAAAAAAATAAATAAATAAATAAAGCTGGTTATCTACCTATTGGGCAAACTAAAATCGTTCCGGACCACGGGAGTTTCCAGACCATAGAATGCCGGACTAGAGAGGTACAACCTGTATTACAGTTCATCCAGTTAATATTTATGCAGTCACGAACTATCAGACAACTCCTCTGTTATCCTGAGGGTTTTCCCAATAGGTTCAAGGTGTCTGTTATAACCAGGTTCCATTATAGTGTCCATTATACAAAGGGTTTACTATACAAACACACTCCAAAATGGATCATCTGAAATAACACTTCCCCATTTACTGTGAGAAGCAACAAGTCATGAACACCAGCCACATTTTTGGTGTTCAATTATTCAGTCCCAGTAGACATTCACACTGTCCAGATGACTCCCTGATAGCTGGTTCTCCTACACTTTTTGGGGAAAAGAGAGATAAGACCCAGTCTATTATGTCTAAAAGTTACAAAGCAGGTTTCGTGGATAGCTTCATAAATCACCTAATGAAAGGTGTCAGCCACAAAAGCTGGATTTTTTTTTTTTACGGGAATTAGCCCACCCGGGCACAGGTCAAACGACCCACAACGGAGCCTGGGGGGGGGGCGAAAAAAAAAAAGAACGGAAAGAAATTGTAAATATAGAAAAAAAGGTTATACTGCATTAATCTACACCACGAAGATGCCGGAAAACCAGCTTTTTAAAGTGAGACAGATTGTAAGAGCATGGAAACACAGAAGAAGGCAGAGCATTCCACAGTTTGGCTGTGTGAGGAAAGGAGGTACCATAACGGGTTATTCTCGTGTGACCGACATCCACAGAGAAACGGTGGGCACCGCAGGCAAGACGTGTGTTACGAACCCATGGCCTTGCCGGCGGTACACAGGATGTCAAATCCACCGAACATTGCCCGTTAAAGTACCTGTAAAATAGAGAGAGTGAAGCAACATTGCGGCGAAGAGAAAGGGAAGAGAGATTGTCGACTAAAGGAGGAGGGTTAATAAGACGAAATGCCTTTGATTCCACCCTATCTAATAGTTGGACAGAAAGAGAGCCACCCCAGATATGAGAGCTGTACTCCAAGTTAGGACGAATGAATCCCTTATATACTTGGAGCAACTGCTCAGGAGTGAAGTAGCTGCGGCATCTGTACTGCATTCCCAACTTTCGGGAGGTAGCTTTAGATATACTAAGGATGTGTGATTTCCAGGACATATTGGCGGAAATGGTGAGGCCTAACATATTTATTTCAGAATTTGGGAGGATGATAGCGTCCTGAAATGTAATTGGTGGGAGATCGTCTAATTTACAAAGTGTAATTGGTAAATATTGAGTTTTATTACTATTGAACTTAACCAAGTTTGTACCTCCCCATTCAGAGATGCTGCACAGATCCGCATTGATAGAAGTAATGATATCAGTTCTAGAAACAGATCTAGTTTGAGAGTTAGGAGGAAGGGGAAAATGTGAGGAAGAGTGAAGAGTAGAATTATCAGCGTAAGAATGGATAGAATTAGTTGTAGTGTGAAGTAAATCATTGATAAAAAGAAGGAAGAGAGTTGGTGAAAGAACAGAACCCTGTGGGACGCCACTACTGGTAGAGGAGTGAGAAATCGATCCCTCGCCAACAACTGCCATGGATCAGTTCTCAAGGAAGCTAGAGATGAGAAAACAAAGTGGGGGAGAGAAACCAAAAGGGGGAAGTTTAGATTGCAAAGACTTGTGCCATACCCTGTCAAATGCTTTGGAGATGTTGAGAGCCATGACAAAAGTTTCCCCATAATCCCTAAGAGAGGATGACCAAAGATGGGTGCAATAGGAGAGCAGATCACCAGTAGATCTCGCCTGGCGAAAGCCATACTGGTGATCCGACAAAAGAGAAAGGCGTTCAAGGTGACGGAGAAAATGGGAGTTCAAGATAGTTTCGAAAATCTTAGAGAGGGATGAAGTTAGGGCAATGGGGCGATAGTTAGAGGGATTAGAATGGTCACCCTTCTTCGGGATGGGCTGAAAGAAGGCATGCTTCCAAGAAGAAGGAAAAGTTTGGGTTTTGAGGCAAAGGCAAAAGAGGCGAGCAAGCACAGGGGCCAGGGCTTCAGCACACTCCCTCAGAACACGAGGGGGTATTCCGTCTGGTCCATGCGCCTTACTCACATCCAACCTGGATAACACACCGGCAACCCTGCGAGTGGAGATTATAGGAAAGTGCATAGGTTCAGTAGGAGGTGCAGGGGTAGGAGGAATAGAGTGGGAATCGTCTAAGGTGGAATTAGAGGAGAATAAGGTGCCAAAGAGGTTGGCTTTGTCAGGGGGAGAGTTGGCTATAGAGTTATTGGGAAAGAAGAGGGGAGGAAAAGAAGGCGTGCAGAAGTTGTTACAGATGTTTTTAGTTAAGGACCAGAAGGATTTACTAGAGGAAGAATTAGTCAGGACAGCGGTCTTTCTTTTAATAAAATTCCACTTGGCCCTACGAAGAATAGCCTTACAAAGATTCCTAGAAGTAATGAAAGAGGTGTGGGTAATAGGAGGAGGAGATAGTTTCATAGCTCGATATGCCCTATCTCTCACCCTGCAAGCAAGAGAGCAGGAGCGATCAAACCATGATTGTAATGTGAAAGTTTTGGAAGAAGATGGGATAAATACACTCATACCGCCCTGTATAACCCCAGCATTGCTGTCAGCACATACCGAGGCATCCCGAGTGGAAAAGCAACATTCATCCCAAGGAAAGTCGGTGAAGAATTCTCGCAAGGATTGCCAGCTTACCCTCCAATAGTGCCATAGTTGACGTTTAGAGGGGGGTGGGGGAGGTGGTCGTGCCCAGTTTGATTTAATAGAAATATAGTTGTGATCAGAAGACCCTAAGGGGGCAAAAATTGAGTATGAATAGTGTGAGGGGTTAGAGGTAAAACAAAGATCAAGAATGTTAGCAAGTTGATCGTGTCGATCAGGAACGCGTGTAGGGTGTTTGATTATTTGTTCCAAATCATTAAGTAAGGAAAAAGAGAGTGCGTCAGCTCCACCTGGGTCATCCCTTGCAGAGCCAAGCCACTCTCTGTGATGTACATTGAAATCCCCTAGGTAGACGATCTCGGTGTTGGGGTGTGTGGATAGCAACGACTCATGGCAAGAAGTGAGATAGTCAAAGAGTTCGAAATAGTTGGAAGAGTTGGGAGGACAGTATAGGAAACAAAGAAAAATAGTCACAGTAGGTAGAGATATTTTGAGCCAGGTGACATCATAAAGGGTAGATTCAAGTTCCGTGAGTCGGGCTATAGGTGTACGTGTATTGCAGTAGGCGCATACACCTCCCATAAAACGGAAGTAGGTATAAAGGTTGTAGTTAGAGACTTGAAAAGGTTTGGGTGAAGCTGCTTTGGTCAGTTGAAGTTCGGAGAGTAGTAAGAGGTTGGGGGAAGAGGTTGATAGATGGTGCTCCACAGAAGAAAAATTGGATCTCAGTCCGCGAATGTTGGAAATATGAAGTGTGAAAAAAGCCGATCCTCCAGCAACCGCGGTGGCATCAGTTGAGGCCCCAGTAGCTTGATGATGATCAGGTCGGCCCTGGGGTCCACAACCTTCCCGACCAGTGGGACCCATCCAAGAAGGCCCCGCTTCAGTATTAATATCAACTGACATAGAAGAATAAAATAGAATGAATAAAGCAGATCAAGAATGAGTATGGTTTTATTTGTGGTGTTGTCAATAGTAAGAGACAGTTGAGACCCTGCAATTGTGTGTAAATGAGGCAAAAAGATAGATCAGCAACCTGGGACTTGGTCACAATTTTCGTGATGCCATATGGCAGCAGGGTCTACCATTAGATAACACATTATGCTTCCAATATCTTCCCAGGCGGTAGTACCTCCCTGTTTGGTAGCTGCCTACTACCTGGTCTTTTGTTTCTCAACAGCGCCAGTTTTCCAAAGAATTCACTAGAACTTGGAATACTGTACTACAAAGTCAAGGACCCGAGAATAAAAAAGAAAAAAATACTGTACTACAATAATGATCAAAAAAAGTGACAGTTCATATAAAGTATCTTCTTTTTTAAACAATATGGTAGAGGATTTATTCAGGATCATTACAGGACAAAATTCATCTTTCTAACACAATTAGAACAGATGCTATGGAAAAAAATTATACACTTTTTTGCTTGCAGTAAATACACTCACAATGTACGTCAGCAAAAGTAGAGCGGATGTTATCGTTTCACTGCTAATTTCATTGACTGTATATAATGTGCAGTATTTATATTTCTTAGACACTTCACTTAAGTGCTCCTCAGCAACCACCTCTACCACAGTGGCAGCCCCCACTTACACAAACGTCCCCCTGTACTATCTGGATTTGAGTTGCATTTTTCTGGGTTGGGGATAAATGTGTCCAGTGCTGGACCCCAGTCTGGTTTGCAAGGATCCGGATTAAGTGAGTCCGGGTTAGAGGGAGTTTACTGTATTTTAATTATGAGCAACACAGAAACAATATAATAGTTACAACAACTTACCAAGTATCTTTGGTCATACCTTGTGTAAAATGTAGATGTAGATAGAGTATGACATGCCAATGGATGCTATGAAAAACAATAACAGGATAAACTTCATTGCATCTTTATAAAACTTAAAATCCAATGGCCTCGGGTATAGGATAGACCGCACTAGTTCTCCCTTTGCCGTATTAAAGCCTGTTCGCACCACAACTGCCAGAACCTAGAACAAAAATCACATTCTCATAAGGTCATATCGGCTCACTTCTACAGTACAGTATACTGTATATACAAGGCGAGTCATAAGTCATGCCCAATGGGAATTTTCATCTCTTGTTTATGTTTCAGATAACTATTAGAGGTGGCTGACTCCAAGAGGTAAAAGCTGTTGAAAAGAGTAGAACCACATGATTTGGCTTTGGCTTCTTACGGTGCCAGTGATGGAACTCTTCACATGCCTCTGTTTGACTCATTCCAGTAATGCGCATGAGTACTACTGGCAGTTCCACTTTTTCAAATGGTTTATATCTCATAGGGTTAGCCATTTCTAGTAGTTAACATAAATATATAAAAAAATAATGAGAATTCCCATTGAACATAAATTATGAATCACCTTGTGTAGAACAAGAAATATAAAGAATCTTCAAATCAGCAGTAGACAATAATTAAATTCATAGCCAGGGGTCTGTCTTTTTTTTTTTCCAGACAATTCAAATAATAAACTTATAGAATTAAATTAGGTATGCAGTGAATTAATTTTTTAATATTCATTTGTTTTTAAACAATGATGGAGAAGGTGATGATGTTCACAAGGATTTTACCTCGGGATAGAAAAAGAGAACATCTCAAATAAAAAACCTGTCTTACATATTAATCCTTTATGGAGAGATCATCACTTGAGGGCATTTTTACCACATCTGTTGTGGGATACATCCAAAAAGGGCTAAAGCACTATTGACCCCTCAGAAATACCACCCAACAAAATCTACTGTCTCAGTAAATTACATACTGTACAGTACAAAACATTATAATCATTATCACTGATTTCAAATTTAAGAACAGGAAGGAGGGGGTGCTGGCGGTAGAGTGGTACCGCTCTTGCCTTCGCAAGCGAGATGTCACAGGTTCGATTCCCGGGCCGGTGGAGGTTGTTTGGACACTCTTCCTAGCCCCCATTAGTCCCTGTTCACCCAGCAGTAAAGTAGGTACCTGGTGTAAATCGAAAATTGCAAATTCGTATTCAGGGACAAGTTGTTGGAGCTTCCAATAACTTGATGACATAAACCATTGACTCTTTAGGCTTCCATGCCCTTGACTCTTCAGGCTTCTACGCCCTTAACTCATGAGACATAAAAGCAAGCATGAACTTAGCATGCTTCCCTGTTGGGCACTGTAAACAGGAAGGTAATTATTTTTACTAGAGGACAGTTTGTTTGATGGTAAGTGTACAAAATGGTAGATACTGTACTAACCTGAGCACTGCCGTAGTACCTTGTCTGGATGACTGATGTTCCACAGAAGAGTGTGTGCCGTTTGTGCTTCTTGGGTAAATAGATCTCATTCTCCTCAGACAATGTTATTGGCGTTTTAGTAACAGGAACACTCTCACCTAAACAAGAGAATCTGGTGATAAACAAGTGGCTCATATCTACTATGTATTTCTGAACTGAAGAAAACAAATTATCCAGTGAAAAGTTTAATGCATATATCACAAAAAAATATTATATGTTTACATCTATATGTTCTCCAAATTCAGGATTCTACTCATTGTTCAACGAGGTGAAATAAAATAAGGATCACCTGAAGATTAGTCCCCAACTTAATTCAACTTAAAATTAACCACATTAATGCTAACCTAACCTAAACCCCCAGGTAGCATTAGGATAATTAATCATCAGGTGAAACAAGCTGAGGGCTAATATTTAGGTTATCTATGAATTAGGTAAGTATCAGTTGTACCTGTGAGCATGCTTTCATTAACAATAGCATTGCCAGATATGAGAACAGCATCACAGGGCATAGAGCATCCAGTAGAAGGAAGGACCACAACATCTCCTGGAACAAGTTCTGTGGCATTGACCTCCACTTCAACTGTAGGGAGTAAACAAAAACATGACATTACCAGCCTTGAAAATGTAATACTATTGAACTGGCCTCTGGGTGCTGACAGACTTATTGCCACCACATTATTATATCACAAGACGAAAACAGGATCTATAACACAAAGTATTTAAGCCCATTCATGAATTATGGTGAGAAAAATAGATCATAAATAAATATACAGCAGCCTCTGGTTATTTTGTGAGACAGTGACAGAACATTCTCAAAACAACCCAAGGCTTCTGTCAGGGCCAGATTTATGGGTGGGCACATTGGGAACCAACCCAGAGGCCACCACCAACCTCTGGGTCAGTGATTCAATTCCCTGGGCACTCCCAGTTCACCCAGATGTAAATGGGTACCTAAGTTTACAACTTAGGGAAGGGAATGTGGTTGAGAGCAGTACCATCCATGATGTCTTCTTAGTATACAATATGCTGCATCCACACTGTCCCTAATGAGTAGTCATGCCTATGGGACCCACTTTCACTTTTTCATATGCAACAGACATTACATCAATTATGTTGACTTTATAGTATCCAAATCTTTTCTTATTTGTGGTCTAAACAGCAGCATGGAGTACAGAGCTATATTAAAGTTCCTGTGTGGGTGGCATCAGCTGACTAAGTGTGAGACTCTTTACATCAACAGCTAACTCTCGCAGTCAACAAATAGCAGCATCTTCCAAGTCCCCACAGGCATATTGTGGCCTAGGGAATTGTGGAGCAGCTCAGGCTGTGTAGATCATGTTTAGTCAGGAAATTATTTTTTGTCCACACATTCATTTTACACAGCAAAGGGTTAATAGTTGGATAATTCTTTAAAAATCCCAAGACATCATACCTGTGGTTTCTTCAGGAGTAGCTCGTAGTATTGATATATTACTGGTGTTGGAGGCCTCCACCATGTCATGCACAGACTGACTTTGCTGAAAATTATAAAGTTCTTTTAAATGATAGAAGAAAACTGATGAGAGACTCTTCAGTTATATACATACAGTGGCACCTCAAAACCATGACATTCAATAACCAGGAAATTACGCAAATGTGGACGACTTTACTGATTCCTTAATATTCAATGTTGTGTCCCCCTTAAACATTGATCAGATAATTGATAAAATCAGCCTGAAAATCTTTTGAGTAGTGGGCCATAGTCACCAACCCTCAGATATGAGGTTGGTACCTTGACAGATTAATTGAATCGGTAATGAGTAAACAAATAACAAACACAGCTAACAAGCAATTTACTAGTGTATTCATTAAAAGATATTATTTACATGACTGTCGGATACTTCTAAATGTGGAAATTGTGATGGACAAGCATAACCGCCCAAATGAATAATGTCATGATTTCCAGAAACTATTCAATCACAAGTGGTATTTGGCAACACCCAGATTCACTTTATTTTTGCTTTTACTTTTTTGAGGTGGAACAGAATTTGGTGAAATACAGTACAGGTAGTAACAGAATTTAAGTAATAAATGCCAAAGCAATTTTTCATAAGAATATTGTAAGAACAAAAATCATGAAGTTAATTTTAGTATACCCTGTATTTGAAAATGAAATAATATAACATATGAGATTACTGCTCAGGAACATTCAGGAATAATTTGTAGAGTTAGAATTGGATAGCAAAGTGAAAAGGTAAACCGGTATTTCCATATTTACGATGGGGTTACATTCCTGAAAACTAAATGCAAATTGAAATATCGTAAATTGTAATCATTACAGCATGGGGTTCAATGGGTTACATTCCCAGCCAGTCCAACACCCACATGTATCACCGAAAATAAAATTCCTACAATAATAATAACACAATTAAACAAAACTCACCACATCATTAAGAACAAGCCTGGTTGTTATCACATGTCCCCTTCGAGGCTAAGGGGACTCTTGAAGGTGGAGTGGAAACGTTACTCTGACTCCCACACAGCTTCACAATGTCAAGCTTAACCTCCAGAGACACAGTTTTCCTGGGTGCTTTGGCCTTCCCTGACCTTTTCAAAGATACACTTCTCACTTGACAGTCACAAATAGAGAGCGAAAGCGCTTGTCACAAAAACAAAATGAACGATAACTTTATTGCCGCCAACACTGCTCACATGTTAAAAAAAAAAGGAGCAAAGCTATTTACTGTCACAAAAAACATAGCAAAAATCACTTCACAGTCACCAAAACTAAGTACTGTACTACAATGTTTATGTTAGTAATGTCTTCTCACTGTAAGGTAAAAAAAATAAATAAAAAATTATCAGTAACAACACCAGTACTGACTATTAATAGTTGAGCTACACGATCATGGGCATGTGCGCTGACCATGGAACAAAGGTTGGGACTAGTGCACCAGGTGGTGGCACGCGGGTAGACCACAGCTGACAAGTGCACCGAGAGATGCGTTCCATATTCCGATTTTGGCTGGACGATGACTATTGTTCATGCAAATTTTTTTATCGTAAATAGGGGGGTGGTCATAATACATCACCATCGTTCAAGAGAACTATCATAGATAGGGAGATCATAAATTGGGGAATACCTGTACATTAATTGTGTAAAGCTGAAATGAATATTCAATAAAAAATATGAAGTGAAATAATATTCATACTCAACATATTTTTGCCATATCTTCAATGGATAAGAAAACAAATATTTTCCATATTTAACACCTCAACTGACGATGACATACAGTATAGTCTACATTTACGCGGTTTTTGTTTATGCGTTTGGTCATTTACGCGGTGCCTTGCCAGAATGAAAATGCTTTAATTACGCGGTAAATTTGGTCATTTCCGCAGCGAGCAGCTGGAGAGGTCCAGACCGCCACGCCATTTTTTACCCACACGGTCCATTCTTGACCATACGCGGGAAGCGGCGCGGTGAGTGGTACGCATTAGGCCACTCTTACGTTATCGCTGACGTCATCTGACATATCGGACTGTGATCGGGCCACGCATCCTTACCACCCACGCATTCCCTCCGCTGCTAGCTGTGATTGGTCTAATATAACATGACGTGCCCTGCCACCATAGGGTAGAAATCGCTGACCTAGCAGGGCCTGTCTCATTGTTCTCAGTCCGCGTATACAGTTCTCTCTTGTGCCCGCTATTCCCCTCACAACTCACAATGGCTTCCGCGGGACCCCCACCACCAGAGAAAAACAATGAATTACCTGGACCAAGCCATGATAATGTGAAGAAAATCATCAAGTTGGGGAAGAAAATTAAGCTCATCCTTGACAAAGACCCAGTCAAGCATTGGTGTGAAGTGTCTAATAACCATCTGACGAAAGTTATGGAGCCGTATATCCAGAACTATCTCGACAACATCAATGCTAGTCGTCAACGTAGTATTAAGGACTTCTTCGCCCGCAACCCACCACAGCCAGCCCAAGTCAGTGATAGTGACAGTGAGGATATGGACTTTGAGGGGTTTGTCTGGGAGACCCTACAAACCTCTGCGAGTAGTGAAAGTGATTCACCGGAGGTCAACTAATCTGCCCTCTGCCTCAGAACCAGCCGCCATCCACGTGTGCCAACCCAGCTTTTCTACTAACGTAAGTTTTAAAAACCTAATATTATTAATAATTAATTATTAAATGTGTGTGCATATCATCATAAAATTAAGATGTTATTTTTACTACAACGTACGTATTGTGTCGGAAAAAGTGGAGTTTGGGGGTCGGCCCAGTCTCTATTTCAATTAATCCCATATGTTCTGTTATTTCATTTTCGTGTTTCTCGTTTTAAGCGGGCCTCCAGGGGTTCAATTGACTGCGTAAATGCAGACTATACTGTACAGCAGGAAACATTCACCAAACAAAATTTTGAGCTTTAGATAAACTATATGTTTAAATAAATGTTTCATTTCTTCATACCTTTTCCCAAGAAATGAACTGTCATTTATATGCTGAAGGTACAGTATTGTATTATTTAGCACCCTAGAAAAAAATTTAAACATTTATGATTCCCATTCTATGGTTCATTCATTATGGATGAAAAAGTAAAACTTGGTTAAATTGCTAGCTTCTACTGATAATTATATTAGAGTAACAAACATCTTTCATATTGTTGTAAAAATAAGCCATATGCAGAATATTCTACACACAGAAGTAAATGTTATTGCCCCGTGTTGTATCATTTCAGATTGGTTGTCCTTTTTTTTTTCCTGCACACATCTTCTTCACCTTTCAAGCATGGGATTGGGATATAGCTCTTTACTTTTCCTACCAGCCTTGAAGCCTTTTAACTGCAAGAATATAAGAGAATGCCAGGAAAAGTTATGCAGTGAGAAATTTGGCTCAGAAGATCGTTAATACTGTACACCATCTTACTACAACGGTGTCCAGCCCACTCACTTGGTTCCCATCAAATTGCCAGATACCATTATTTGAACGAATTGTACTGAAACCATGACATAATTTTTAAGACCGACTGTACAAAATCTTACAGCACCATTAATCCTTTACCACAGAGGACAGACTTTTTCAAAAAAATATGAAGTCCTAATTACAAACACAAAGAAACTACAGTAAGTACATTACCTTACGAGTTTCATGGAGAGAGACAATGATGGAAAGGCAAGACACCAGGAAGATGCACGTGGCATAGAGGACGTAGTTGTCAAAAGACCACAGAGTTATCGATGCAATTTGGAAGACGTAAAATGGGTTTAGAATTTCCGTTACTAAGAGATGCCAATAAGACTTGACCTCCACACTTATCATGTTGAGTCCATAAAGTATTTGTCTGGAAAATAAAACATTAATATACAGGGTAAGATACTTATTAAGAACACTTAAAATCTATTCTTTTACAAAATGTCATATTACACTAAACTATAAACAACTTGTCAACTTAAGCTAGTACAGGAATACCTCACTATTTGCAACCCTGATATTTGCAATTTATATTTTAACACCCCTATTTGACATTTTCAAAGCATACCCCACTTATTCGCAAATGAAAAATTATAATACCCTACAGTAATATTTCAAACCGGCGGTCTGGCCGCAGCTTTCATATTTCAATGAAAGGCCCACTTCACACAAGCAGTTTTTCCGCGTGTACGGACCCGCACGGTTTAGAAATTAATGAAGTTCAATGGGACAGTTCACACTGAGCACGCATGTGAAAATTCACTTGCAGGAAAATTCACGTGCAGGAGATGCTCACCCCACGCCTGTATCTGTAATTCCAAACCTTGGCATGAAAAAAATATGCCGAGCATTCTAGAATTCTTCATATGGCAATGGTAAATGCTAATTTAAATGTTTACACTCATGCATACACACTCACTCAAATGCTGTTCTTTTATATTGTTTATAGGGTGTTATTGTAGTTATTTTATTGCCTTACATGGAGTGTACCTGTACATAAAAAAATATTGTATGTTGTATATAAAATAAGGAATATGAAGAGTATGTGTGTGGACTTGGCAGGTCACCAAGTTAGATTGTCCCTGTAGTTATAGCCCCCTAGCTCTCCTATCAAGCGAAGCTGTGTTTGTCTTATACTTCAGCTCATAATATTAATTATACAGTATACCGGGGTATACGTATTTTTAGTCTTTCTTTTTTTTTTACTGTTACATGCACCCATAATCGTTCATACAGAATGTGCAACAAATAAAATTATCATGGTCAAAAACATTGAGAATAAAAATTTATTACATCCGCAGGATTAAGCGTGCAGATTGTGGGAGAGGCAGAGGGGAGCAGTGAGGGAGGTGCAGGGCTGGGATCTCATCCTCCCCCTACTGGTTCATGCTGTGAGCTGCATTATTGTTATGCTTCAACTTATAATTTCAGGAAGATATACATAATTTTCTTAACTTTTTTTATTGTTATATGCACACACAGTCATTCATAGAGATTGTGGGAGGAGGGAATATTCTTGGAGATCTCAGCTGCTTCGGTCTCCTGCATGTAGTGAAACTATTGCCAAACTGACAATGCAGTATTTTTTCTTTTATTTATTTATTAGTGTAGTATAATTTTTATTTATTCCTCACATTTACTGGTATTAAAGTATATATGCAACCCTGTTCCTTAATACCCCTGGATAATGAGGAGTACACAGTAGATAGAAAAATATGTGGTGAAAGTTGCCAAGTGGAAATGCATCCCATTATTTACATTAATTCTTATGGGGAAAATTGCCCTGATATTTGAAAATTTGTTATTTACAATGACATTTTGGAATGCATCCCTTGTGATAACTGGGGTATCCCTGTACAGGTACATCAGGTTTACATTACCTTTGCATTTGCTCTTGGGCAGTAAAACCTCTGAAGTCATTTAGTAAAGATTTGATTGGAGTATTTTGATCATAACCGTAAAGGCGAGTAAATGTCATCTTCTCAGGAGTCCAGATGTACTTGATGTGTTGAAATATAAAGTAACGTAAAACTCTGAAAATTAACAGTGAAAGTTAGAAACCACATCATATTTAAGTGTACAATTTGCCTATGTAACTGAAGCAAATATCAGATTGTGAGCTGTGACGTAAAGGCCACAAATGAGACCATTCACAATTTTAGTCTTTAATACCTGAAAAACAGCACCCCCTCCCCCCAATAGTTTTGGGGTGGTTAAACTTCAGGCTGGTTGAGAGGCAAAACTTCAGGTGAGCACTTAGGGGGTTAATTTTCAGTTGTAAATGGTCTCAACTACATTAATGATATGCATATACTGTACAGGTACACATATTTATATATTGTGCTTTGCTAGAGTTTTGTACACTTTAATGAAAAAGCGAATCAAGCAAAAATTAAGTGTCTGACAGGTCTTCAAGTTAAATATCACATACAACAACATCAACATTAACATCTAACATGTAAGACTTACCCTACCTATAGAAAAAAAAATTAAATAATGCAATCACACTAGACAAAATTATTTTGAAAAGGATTGTGTGTCCATTTCTATTTTAACTATACAGTACAGTTAAACACACACAGTTTAGATGAAATCCAACTTAATGCAAATGGAATTACTGCATCAGAGTCCAACTTTATTCTCAAATTAGACAGGAAGAACATAAATCATTTACCTGTGAAGTGGCTGAGTGAGATGAGTGACATCTGATGCTCCGTTATGGGCCCCATTACACACACCATTAAAGGAGTGAGAGGACACCACATACTGTGATGGGAACCCAGACTCAACGGTTTCTGATTCAACTATTGCTACGTGAATTTGGCCATCAGCATCCTGGTCAACATAAAACTCTTTTTAAGTTAAATTAGGATTTATTCCATGAAAAACATGAGTGAATTAAATTCTTTTTTATATCTATTTATGAGTAAAATTTGTCTGTATGATATGTCTTCTATCACCTGGCCTAGTTTAACTTTGTACAATGTCATGGGAATGTGATTCTTTTAAGTACTGTACCAGTATTCATTCTATGTTTTTCATTTCCCCACCTCCCACCTTCCTACCAACTGTTGAAAGCCAGTGGTGAGTTGCCTACTACCATTTGTGGATTTTGAGGAAATTTAATCTAATTTGTCATTATAATTTGATTGTTTCACTTTAGTACTAATATGCTAACACCACTGTAGCTGGCATTTCAACTGTTTAACTGTCAATCTAATTCAGGTTTTCAAATTCTAGAATCAGGCAGGATCAAGATGAAGTCAGAGAAACTCACATTCCTTGTTTATATTTTAAATGTTTTCATTGTATCACTTATATTCAAATGATTTTTGTCACTCCTTTGAGTCAATATTCTCTACCTTCCTATATTATTGTCTTGTCTCTAGACTTATTAATTAGTTACTTAGTAATTGTGTGAACCTCTCAAAGCATTTTGTGACGGGATTTTTCCTTTTATCGTTGACTTTCTGTTGTGACGTACTGAAGGAAAGACATGGTCTCCTTCCTTCCTCACAGCCACCGTATGTGGCTAAGTTTGTTTGTGCTCCATTGTTAGGGATGATTGGTGGGACGATAGTTGTGTTAGACTGTTCCCCAATTAGGCAGGATGTGCTATTTTATTATATTTGTGTAGAGTCAGCAAAAAAATTCGTGAACGCTCTAAGCGTCATAAAATACGACAAAATACAGTAAACAAGAAATGTGAATATTACTCTCTGACGAAGGTTTATTGCAAATTAAATTACAATAGTTTTTCATCTGTAAATATTATAAATATGAGCAACATATATTATGAAGTATTGAGAGTCACTTCACAACCAGGCATACCAACCATTCTGAGATGACAAGAGCCCTAGTGATCATTCTAAAATCTGTCTTGCCCAGCTGTTCGAGAATTTTTTTCTTTGCCGACTGTACATAATGTGTATATTTCTGTAAATACTAAAGATCATTTATGGAATTGTACAAAAGTACCCCATGAGCTTACTTTTGCTATCCTTTATAGGTGAGGATGATCCTTTGAGTTGAACCTATAAGGAACATGACAGTTTATGGTCATGCTTCAGTGTTTATACCAGGAAATAATTAAAATATGTTGGATGATGGTTCTCATTTCTAACTTTGTCCTGGGTTAATGCAGAGGGGAAATTATTTTTGTGATTACTTGTTCTCTCTCTCCCCTTGTGAATCAAGACAACACCATGTGACTTACAAATGATTTTCATATTTTGTAAGTCATTATACTCATGTTTTGTATCCCTAAGCAGACAGTCACATGTTCGGTGCTTGTTGTATCTTGCAAGGTATAATACTGTAATACGTAGTCAAATTACCCATTCCATAGTATTTGTGTACCATGTACAGTATTATTATAATGTAATTATCATTATACAGGTTGACAACCCTTTATCCGAAATTCCGAAAACCGAAAAGCTCTGAAAACCGGAATTTTTTTGTGGAGCATTTTTTTTTTTTAGGATTAGCCCACACAGGCATAAATCACTGACCCACATCGGGGCCTGGGGGCAAAATGTAATAGTAATAATAATAATTATAATAATAATTATTCATAATACAGTGGGGTATGCTATAACGAATCTAATTGGTTCTAGAACCTTGTTCGTTATAGCATTCGTTCGTTATAGGATTAATCCGTTCCAGGCCCCCAAATACAACCACTTAACACTGAAAAATATAATATAAAATTGTAAAAATTGTAAAAAAGTGCATAAATATGCATATAAACCCCTGAAATAAAGAATATCATTAATGCTTGTAATAAAAAAACAATAAATTAGTAAAAAAAAAAAAAAATTTTTTAAATAATGTTCGTTGTAGGAGTTTCGTTCGTTATAGCATTCTCAATTTTATAGGTAAAACCGTTCGTTATAGGAATATTCGTAGTAGGATCCGTTCGTTATAGCATACCCCACTGTACTGTAAATAAAAATTTTAATAAAAAATACACCAAAATAAAATAATAATGATAACAATAATAATAATAATAATAATAATAATAAGGAAATACAAGAATGAAAAAAGATAAAAAGTGAGAAACACGACCTAGACCTATGAATTATTATTATTACAGGTAGTATTATTATTATTATAATCATTATTATTATATTTTTGCCCATACCAACTCCCTCCCCTGAACCCTCCTCCCCACCGGAATATCAACAAGTTCACGCCAGAAGTTACTATTTCATTTAGGAAAGGAATGGAACCAGTGTTAAACAGAGGTGAACAGTGGTGAACAGTGCTTAAGTCAGTGAGAACAACTCAACAGTAACAGTGGTACCCAAGTTGACCTTCACACAGTGAGGTCCCAGGTACCCAGTGATAACGGCGGCCCGACCCAACAACCAGCGATGTGTTAATCCGTCTACGATAGGAAGGCCTGGGACCACACCTCACTCATAGAACACCGTCTGTGAGGGAACTACTACACCACGTGAGGCCCCTCATAACACCATCTGTGAGGGAATTACTACACCACGTGAGGCCCCTCATAACACCATCTGTGAGGGAATTACTACACCACGTGAGGCCCCTCATAACACCATCTGTGAGGGAACTACTACACCACGTGAGGTCCCTCCTAACACCATCTGGGAGGGAGTTACTACACTACGTGTTTTCTGTTCAACACCTACATTAATCTGTATGTTCACTGTATGTTCCTTCACCTTTCTCTAATGAAGGCTTTTGTTAAACCACCAATGTATGTAATAAGTCATTTATGCCCAATGTATATTTTCAGCCTTCGGGCTGCAGAACTTTTTCAATAAACCGTTAATTATTATTATCGCACGCACGCGCACACGCGCACACACGCACACACGCACACACACACACACACACACAAAAAAACCTAACCATTCTGAAAACCGAAAAATTCCGAAATCCGAAATGCCTCTGGCCCCAAGGATTTCGGATAAGGGATTGTAGTACTATACTGTGTTTTCTTTTCCTTCTCACCATCATTATTAATATTATTATTGTGCTACCTTATTATAATGTCAATACTGTATTCAAGATGCAGCTAACTAGGAAACACAGATGCAGGCACCCTTCAACACATGAAAGGGTTGTGTTCCTGGAAATCCATTCAGTATATGAAAAAAATATATACAGTATTACCCCGCTTTACACGGTTTCACTTTCCGCGATTTCTCATTTACGCGGTACCTTGCCAGAACCGGACTTTCACTTTCCGCGGTGCATCTACTCATATATACATGAAGTATAATTTTTTTTTTTTTATTTAGCTCATAAAATTCATACAAATTACCCGGCCAGAATATAATTTACATTGCTGGAATTCTTACAATATGATGATCATTTTGAAAATAAACATCATGGATTTTGCATTAGACATACAAATTTTAGATCTAATGTAATAATTTGGTTTACACAAAGCAAGTATTTTATCTTTTGTGCAAAATATATGAAGTTTACATTCAAAATATTCCCTGACCTGCAAGGAATCCAGAAATGTCAATTATATTATCCTAACTTTAGTCTGAGGTATTATTTATTACTAAACGTTAAAATCTAGTGTTTCACCCAATCATTTCTCAGAGAGGTAGGGGCCAGTGAGCTGGGAAGAGGGGGGGGGGATTTGAGTCCATTATTTAAATGGACATTAACCTGGCAGCTGTATTTCTCTTAAATATTAATTGTGTGAGCATACCATCATAAAATTTAGATGTTATTTTTACTACAACATAGGTATTATGTCGGAAAAAGTGGAGTTTGGGGGTCGGGCCAGTCTCTAATGGAATTAATCCCATATGTTCTGTTGTTCACTTTACGCGGTTTTCACTTTCCGCGGTACCCTGTGGGTTCAATTGACCGCGTAAATCGGGGTACTACTGTACAGGTATAAATTTAATGGTAGAGCCCATGTATTATTGGAGGTTATGTTCAAAGGAGGGAAAATGTAGGTCAACTGGGGGCTTTCACACAAGTTCACCACTGTATGTCCTATAAAAATAATACTAATGTCATGATCGTGATGACGGCTAACCTAAAAACCTTAAGGATTCATATTACGCTCAAACGTCCACAAAACCTTCTGAGTCTGCAATAAGCCCAGGAGGTGAGCCTGGTAGTTATACATTAATAATATATCTTTTTCCCTTTGATTTCATATTAATAAACTTATTCTTAGAGTATTTTAGGTGTATTCATTTCTCCCACAGTATTTCACTTTATTTCCGTCCAAGTGACTTGATACCAGAATTACCATACCCATGTGCCTAGACCCTCGACCATGCTACCAAAAGAATCCCACCGCTACCAATGGTTGTAAGTATTAAAGTAAAAATTGTTATAAGAGGCAGGCCCTTATACTAAAGAATAAATACCCATGAAAATGCAGAACTTTGTGCAGATTAATGCATCACTGCACAAAAGTCAAAAGTGAGTGCTAATCATAAAAGAAAATAAGTTGCTTTCGCGTAAAGAAAAAAGTTGTCAAATTGTGACTTTTGTTAAGACAAATCTTTGTTTACCAGGCAAACATATATAGTATCAGTAGAAACCTGTATACTGTACTGTGTCAAGACTCCTACCTTTAATATAAGAGCATCAGCATCTGACAAAGCAGACTTTCTACTCTTCCAGTAGACCCGCCACTCTGGCTTCCAGTAGGAGATGAGATAAAAAATTCCAAGGGTGATGAGAGTCAGGAGATAGAAGAGAGCGGCCTTACATGCAGAGTTCTGGTAGCCATAAAGGGTCAGCTCTTCCTCCGTGCCCTGCTGGATGACTCTACAGTGGTTGGGCGGTCCTCTCTCCTTGTCCCCTACCTCACCTAACCGATCGTACGTCATATTTACAGCTGTAAAGGACAACCATTATGAAAGAATTTGTTAACTGTTTCTATAACATGTTTGGTTAAAACCATTGCTTAATATATATATATATATATATATATATATATATATATATATATATATATATATATATATATATATATATATATATATATATATATATATATATATATATATATATATATATATATATATATATATATATATATATATATATATATATATATATATATATATATATATATATATATATATATATATATATATATATATATATATATATATATATATATATATATATATATATATATATATATATATATATATATATATATATATATATATATATATATATATATATATATATATATATATATATATATATATATATATATATATATATATATATATATATATATATATATATATATATATATATATATATATGCTGATAACCACAAGAAAACATGAAGTTCCCAAAGCTTTCGTGTAATTCACATCTTCAGGGGTGAGTACAGACTAGAGAGTAATACAAATCAAAGGTGTATATATACAGAGGTGAGACCAGGTCCAATATGGTCAGGTATTAGTAATGACCCTACTAATCTTTAAATAGCACACAGCGGTTGGTGGTCAGGTCAGATGGTCAAGTGACCGGCCTTCTCACCTGATCACAAATCTTCTTAATTACAAAATTGTCCAGCTTGTACATGCCGTTACTCAAATTCATGTTGAATGCTTGGTATGTTTAATAAGACTAGATTCTATGATGTTCCTACTGTCAATTGACTTACATGGTAATATTAGGAGGCATTATCAGTCAATGCAATGCTTGTTATCCCTCAAATGAACAAACAGAGCATTGGATTCCTGTCCTAACACTGTATTTGTGTTGTTTAATTCTAGTTGCAAGATCTTTTACCTGTCTGGCCTAAGTAAAACATATTACATTCCTTGCAAGGAACTTTATAAATGCAACCAATTGTGTTGTTGGGGGAGTTCTTGATTAACATTTGTTTAACACAATTGGTTGCATTTATAAGTTCCTTGCAAGGAATGTAATATATTTTTACTTGCCAGATGAAATGTCGCATAGACATTGGCACCTACAGTGATTTACTTGCATATATATATATATATATATATATATATATATATATATATATATATATATATATATATATATATATATATATATATATATATATACAGTATATATATATATATATATATATATATATATATATATATATATATATATATATATATATATATATATATATATATATATATATATATATATATATATATATATATATATATATATATATATATATATATATATATATATATATATATATATATATATATATATATATATATATATATGGACTTTTTATGAAGAGAAGAACAGGAAAACACAAATATTTAGATTAAGTTGGGTTTCTTTAATTACTAATCCTTATTTGTATAACCATATCCTTATTTCCAACATGTACAGCAGCTAAAACAACTACGTATCTGTGCAGGTGGGGGTTGATATTCTCCAAAATTTTACAGTGACTAGTGACAGCCATCATATACCCAAATTTATTGTCCATGGTCTCATATTGTTTCCCACAAAGTATGCAGAATACAGTTGTTGTTTTAGCTGCTGTACATGATTTTTTGGGGACAGAAAATGCAGTTACAATAATTATTATGAGTCGCAATAATCTCTTGGATATTTTTAGTATGGATTGATTAGTTATAATATAATGTACTGTACATGAGTATCCTATATCAAAATAACCAAATTTCATAGAAACTAATGCCTCTAAATTGCTAAGGTTATGATCATTTTCATGATTACTAATAATCATGACAATAATTTTATTATCTGATTATAGCAACTTAATCCTCATTATGAAGCTTCAATTTGATACAATAATGATTGCACTATCACAATTATTTCAGGAGACATAGTGAGTTCATTTCTAAACTTTAACCACATTTTCTGGTGTTTTAATTTTTTGGGCACTTACAAAGTTATGGTCAACACAGCCTCATATACAGTACACTCGGCCCTTCACATAAGCGGGTTTTAGCATACGGATTCGCCATCGCGGTTGCCCCTGCCGGAATATTCTGTACATTAAGTAATTGAAGTACATTCAAATCATGTGACACCGCCCGCCCGCACCCACACACACACACACCGCCCGTCATGCCACCGCGCTCCCTCACTTAGTCAGTCTCGCTGTAACCCACTTGGCGTGTGTTGACATCAGCACTGTGGAGTCGACCCTGATTTTTTGACCAAAAAATCAGTTAATTTATGATATTCCTTGTTTATGAGTCGACCCAAGTTTTTGAGGGTATTAGTACAACAAAACCTTCAGTAAAACACTCACGTCCTATAAACTGAAACGTGCCTGAAACACCAGTACCGCAAACCAGAGGTGTTTACCATTTATATTTCTGACACTTTACACCAAGCCAGGAAGTTTCAACAAAAATATTGTATATTTCTATTCAGAAGTATTTATTCAAGTCAATTAGGAGGAATATTATTGTAATAATACAACAGTTTTTTAACTGAAAACCAGTACTGTGCTCTAGTGCAACAATTTTTAGTCTCTTGAGCAAAATAACATAGTTTATATTCAAATTGTGGCTGTGTCTTGAGGATTCAGCAATGCAAATTGTAATCTCCTAACGATACAGAGATATTATACAAGGTAAAAACATAAGCCTAAATAAAACTGACTGAGCAGATTAGGAGGGAGGGGCCAGACCAACCAGCCAACAGGTGGGGGGAGGGTGGAGGGGTGGGGTGGGTTGAGGTGATATATTTGACAGTTTGAGCCGAAGGTCTCTGTGTGTTTATTTAACAGTCTCTCGCTTCTCCATTTTAAAATGCCACAAAATGACCTGGGAGAATATAATTAACATTGCTGGGATTGCATAAAGACACTGATTAATTTGAATAGCAACATGCTCTAATTTGCACTAGATATAACAATTTTAGTACCGTAATGAAATTAGTACATGTACACTCCAACTTTGCACTAGGTCATTTATTTTCTTGCAAAATGCAGTGTGTTGCATGTAAATGGATGAAAATAAATGAAGAAATTTATGTAAATCTGCAAAAATACAGTTGAAAACTTTTATACTGTATTATAAAATGTACTACACAATCATTGGCCCACACTATTATTACTACATTTTTTATATCTTGAGCAAAATATATGGCGTTTATATTCAAATTATTGGCTTATCTTGCAAGGATTCCAACAATACAGCTCTCTAACTTTAGTCTGAGATATTATATAAAATAAGCACATAAGAATAAAGCTATCACCAATCTTTTTGTCTGGGAACACAAGGTAGCCAGGCAGAGAACAGGGAGGGAGGCGGGGCGGGGGTGGGAGGCGGGTGGGAGGTGGGGTGGGAGGAGGTGGGGTGAGAGTGTGGTGTTTGTTTTGTTATTTGAGATAGATGTGACAGTTGGCGCTGAAGGCCTACTGTTTATTTATCATTCATAGAGAGTGACCAAGCTCTTCTCATAATTTGCCACCCAAAGCGACCTGAGTGAATAACTTACGACCTTAGGATTCTTGTAGATAGTGATTTATTTGAATATCTGTATAAACAATCTATATTTTGCAATAGACATAACAATTTAAGGACCGTAATCATCTAGTACATATGCGATTACAGGTTTGTTCACGGTAAAATTTTTGAACAAAGAAAGCAATATTCATTGTTTGCATAATTTTATCTCCACTTTCCACTGTAATGCACTTCATTTCAGCAAAAATATTACATTTCCATATTAATTTCTGAGAATATATTCATTCGGGTCACAGTTAAGGTAAAATATACTCTGTGATGTAGCGTTTTAATGAAAATAAATACCGGTATTTAGACATACGGTATCGTAGTTTTTTGTTTCAAATTTAATTAACAAAGATTGATGTTTCAAATGTAATGAACAAAAATTTATGTACAGTATTACCCGCCTAAGCTGTTTCACTTAGCGCTTTTACCATATACGCGTGTTCCTCGCCAGAGCTGAACTTTTCACTTAACGCGGTTTTTTCCACATATAAGCGGGAGTGTCCTCGCCCGAGCTATTTTTTAGATTCGCCCCCACCAGCCACCCTGCCTGACTGCCTGTTTTGAAATCATAAAATTCGTCCAAATTACCCAGCCAGAATATAATTTTCATTGCTGAATTTTATAATTTGATGACCATTTTGAATATAAACATCATAGATTTTGCATTAGACATACAAATTTTAGATGTAAAGTTTATTCTGAGTAAATATGTTATCTTTTGTGAAAATATATGACATTTATATTCAAAATATTCCTGGTCTTACAGGAATCCAGCAATGTCAATTATATTATCCTAACTTTAGTTTGAGGTATTATTTATTACTAAAAGGTAAATATTCTGGTTTTCCCACACATCTGGTGAGACGCAAGGTGGGGGTGGGGGGAGGGAGGACCAGACCATCTGTTACAGTGAAGAATATTTTTTTTTTTTTATTAACTGAAGATATTGTTTTAGCTCATAAAATCCATACAAATTATCCGGCCAGAATATAATTTACATTGCTGGAATTCTTACAATTTGGTGATCATTTTGAATATAAACATCATAGATTTTGCATTAGACATACAAATTTTAGATGTAAAGTTCATTCTGAGTAAATATGTTATCTTTTGTGAAAAATATATGACATTTGTATTCAAAATATTCCTGGTCTTACAAGGAATCCAGCAATGTCAATTATATTATCCTAACTTTAGTTTGAGGAATTATTTATTACTATACCTGGTTTTCCCCCCAAAATTTCTCAGATGGAAGAGCCAGCGAGTGTAGTGTGAGAGGGGGAGGGAGTTGAGTCCATTATTTGAATGGACATTAACTTGGCGACTGTATTTCTCTATTTCTCTTAAGTATTAATTATGTGCATGTACCATCATAAAATTAAGATGTTATTTTTACTAC